TTTTTTTTTTTAATATTTTATACATGGGTCCACTCTGTGAGTGGGAATTCAAAATTCTGGTAAAAGCCCGATAAAATTCATTTGTACTTGAAGCATTTTTCAGCATTAGAAACCTTTAAATTAGTCTAGTTACTTCCCAGCTGTCTGTAAATGCATTATGTGCTAGTGCTACGTAAGCGGGTCGGGTCCGTTTATTCCATGCATTATGATCAAGCTGCAGCATTTGTGCGTAGGGATCTTGACATGGGCAAATTTGAAGCCTGGAAAAGAAGAAAACCAGCTGAAGCTGATGCCTCTCATGTTCAGTATCCATATCAAAGAATTTCAAGTAATGGCACAGGAATACCTGATCTGAATTCTTCTGGGATTCTTGGACCACCACCATCTGACAGTAGACGCATAAGTAACGACAGGCTTTATAAGATGTAATTAGCTGGCTTTTGTCCAAAACATAGTTTCTCGTCTAGTATCAAATAGTTCCTCGGAACGTCCATGTATGGATGATGTTGAGCCAATTGTAGAGAGAATCCCAGAGGTTATTATTCTGTGGCTTTGGCTGCTCTGGGGATTGTTATTCTCTTAAAGTTTTTTGCCCATGAGAATACAAGCTTTGTAGAATCCTTTTACAAAGTTCAGTCAAGACAAAGTCTTTTAGTTTCTGCATCGCGACAAGCCGACAACCAGCGGATGCATCGATATTCTGAAGATCCTTCAATGTTGGGAGGTGACATAAAGAGGTGATTATACTAAATCTTCAAGTTCAACTATTCTTTTTAGCATTTTGTTCATATTGTACAAGTGAGAAGCCATTTTACGTGTATAATGCATTCGTAAATTGTACATGAGACAGTTTTGCTTGTTGACACTTAATCTTACCTATGCAAGCTTATGTCACAGCTTTTATTGCTCAGATTCTTTGTCAAGTAACTTGACATTCCGGCCTTTCTTGGTCGGTTGGTATGTTATATATAGGATGGAGCTTTCAGTCTACATACAGCGCAACTACTCGCACACTCGTAGAGTGTAGATTTATTATCTGTAAATTTTATGTGATTGCAATGTTAGAATAGAGAGAGATGTTAAAATTTTGTTCGTCATATTGTTCAGTACAGTTAAATACTTTGCACCATCTTTCTCAAAAACAAAATTAGACAAAATCAAAAGGTACTTTTAAGAATGCCCTTGTCAAACAACCACTTTTCCACATTACCCAAAAAATTTTGACATTCACCACAATAGCCTTTCAAGCCTAAAAAGACGAAATTATCCTTAAAATGTTATACAAATTATAAAAAATGGTATTGTTTAAAAGACAATA